CTCGCGAGCCACATGCGGCTCTTTAGTTAAAAAAGTTTAGTAAAACGTTAACGTGAGAACTATTTTATTCTTGGCAAGAAAAAATTCTGTGGCTCATTAAAAACTTTGAAATATTTTGTAAATTGTAATTTTTGGTTTTCTTCCGACTCCTCAAAAGGTTGCCGACCCCTTGTCCTAGACCGAAAATATTAAAAAAAAAAAAAAAAGCATGCGCTGATATATATATCGTTAGTAATCGATTAATTTTGTGACCTTAATGGGTCGGTGAGTGGTTTCTTTTTTTTTTTTCTATTTAATGAAAACAGTGACAGTAATATTTTATACATACATATATATATATATATTTAAATTTAAGTATTTAGTTTGTAATGTCTTCTCTATATGATTTAATTACGATTGATTAATTGATTTAATTGTTTGCATTGTATTTAATGAAAAATATTATGTCATTGTTTACACGTACATGAAAGAAATTTTCTCAATGATACACTTCGATCAATTCAAACGTAAAACTGCTAATATATTTCAGAATGAATTCAATTGTTTTTATAAAATATATTATTCACAATAATAAAGATAATTATAGATAATTATTATATTGCTGCATAACCGACCCATTTGGTCTATTTGCATTTATATAACACAATAATATTGATGTATTCTTGTTGAATTATTCTATCTTGTAACTTTAATATTATAACATGTACTACCCCATTTCATGTCTAGTGTCAAGCAGAGCTGATTCTATGCTTTTGCTAACCGAACAACTTGAGAAAAAAAAAAAACAATTCTAAGTACAGAAACTAAATTTATGTATTTCTTCACACGTTTGTTGTATGCTCAACACAAAATTCTGATGCTTTTCTGTAATTACAATTTTTGAAGAAAAAAAAAATTAAAAAGGAAAAAAAGGATCAAGTGAAAATGAGAGAATCAGTGCTGACGAGAACATAAGGCAATTTAAAAAAAAAAAAAAGAAAAAAAAACATTATTATAAAGCTAAAAAAAATCACACATTTACTACTTTTAACAAAAAATGAATATAATAATATATTTGGAAAGTAGTAGAGGAGGTAATTAATTATATAAATGTAGTGGCAACTCTTATAATAACTACCATGAAAAATATAAAAAAAAATATATGAAAAAAAAAGGACAAAAAAATACAATGTATAACAATAATTATTCGAAATATTAAAATACAAAACGCACTTTTGATGGATGTTGTATAACAATTTAGAATATTCAAATTACATTAATATATTTGCTTTGTAAATCTGCTTTACATTGGATTAAGACGTCGCTCTGTTAAATATATCTCATTAAAAAAACATTTATTATTATATTCGATGATAAACCAAAATGATATTTCTCAAATCAATGTAACATTTTTTAAATAACAGACAAACAAACAAACAAACAGAGTGGCTCTCATCCATTGGCAGATATTTTAAGTTGGTTTCTTTTTTAAAATATTAACCAATATTTCATTTTCTTGTATAACGTAATTACAACACAACACACACACGCAGAGAATAGAATGATTAAGATACATAGAGGATCCTCCGTTGGGTTTTAAAAACTAAAAAGCTTTTCAACATAATGTGTATGGTTCAAATAATGCAAAAAATTGAACTTTCAAGAAGTTTTGTAAGAAAGCTCTTAGCACGAGAGGTTCTTGGATATGGTTGGCTGACATTTTCGAAAGTTTAATGATTTATTGAAACGTGTTGTCATGTCTTGAATATAATTAAAAAGAATTATAAAAATTCTATTAAGAGAACATCATTTGTTTTATACCAAACATCTTCGTTTTTTTTTATATATATATATATATAAATAGAATGTTGTTTCATTGGGTTTTGTAAAAAGAAGGTAAGTAAACAAAGAAAAATTTACCTCAAGAGATTTCATCTTTTAATATTTAGAAATCTACATATTTATTATTACATTACTGAATGTGTTGTCGAATATACGAGTTTGTTTTTTAAATACAAACATTATTATCATCGTAAAGTATCTTTTATAGGAAATATTGGTAATTCATTTCGGAAACTTTCAATATCTGTAATATATACTTCAGAATCATTCGTTTTAGTTGCATTATTATTTAAATACTTCAACTTGTATGAAATTATATTGTCATTATCCGATGTAGAATTATCTGTAAACAAAATTCACATATATATTTAATGTTTAGTATCATTCAAATTAGTTAATCTATAGAAAGATTTAAATATTCGCGGGTAAAAGTAATGTCGTTACTGCGCATGTCAAATTATTTCGAATATTTTCAATCAAAAAATCGATTAATTATTTTTATTTGTAAATAAATTATACTAAATATTGGCGCGCTGGTAAAAGTAATGTCGCTACTACACGTGTCAAATTATTTCTAATATTTTCAATCAAAGCATCGATTGATGATTTTTATTTACCAGATAGAAAAAGTTTGTGTGTTGATAACGTGATTAATTAATAATAAAAACTTGCTTAAATTTTGAGGTTAAAAAGTGACATTACTTTTTCTGACTAATATTTGTGTATACGTACCTTCCTTATTGGCATTTAATTCTACGGAATTTGAAATTGTAACATCGGAAGTTTGTTCATTAGTTCCTATAACATGGACACTTAATTTCCTGAGGTTGTCTCCATTGAGAGTATGAGCTTTCATCCAATCTTGTAATTCTTTTATGGTAATACTATCTATAGCAATGATCTCTTTTTCCAATCTATCGAATACGTAATCACAATTAGTGATTTCGTGCCAATTTCTATCAACTTCTTCTTTCAAATGAATATCAGCACATTGTTTTATTTTTGTTAATGCTTCTTTAATACTTTCCAAATCTTTGTCCGAAGTATCTATTAACGATTCGTTAAATAATTTTAAAAATTTTTCAATTCTATTATCAACGTGTTCGGTCGAATGTTTATCAGCTTGAGTATTAACGATGATGGAATAACCAACAACACCATAAGTGTTTCTCATAAGACAAGAAACGTCATAACCAAGTTGTTCTTTCGTTCTAAGTTGATGAAATAATGGTTCCTCCATAATCATCTAAATATTAATATGAAAAAAAAAGAATTCATTAAAAATTAACCTAACTTTTGTAGTTTTCTGTCAATTGAAAACAACATTGACAATACTTACAAGAAGCAGTTCTATAATAACTGTCAATTTGATAGACAATTCACCAGATTGATAATAATTAGTTACAACTGAATTAACATCGGTCTTATTAAAATTGTTAACTTTACAATATTGTATTCCAACAGGTAATTTAGTGATTCTCAATTGTGGCATAGTATTAGTTAACAGTGGACCACACTTTAAAATATCGATACAATTCTTGACATGTTTAATGACATTTTCTTCAGTCATATTGCCTTGTACGAGACATTGTATATAAGTATGTTTAGTAAATTCTTTGATAAAATCTTTAAATTCATTAAATGTAGTTGTAGAAATAGCTGTATGTCTATCAATGGCAGGCCAATGGTCGAGCATTAACATGGACAATCTTATATCCCTGTAAAGTTTTATGAAAAAAAACAGAGAAAGTAATGTTAATATATTATTTATAACCTAAAATCAAATAATGAACAAAAGTGTGAGTACATACTTGGCCAATTTTCCTGGTTTTAAAAATGAATTATAATAAGCTTTCAGTTGTTCTTGTTTCATAACATCAAATAGATCTTTTGTCAAAAGATTTGGACAATTTGCAATATATTTTACACAAATATTTAATAACAGCTGAAAAAGATGAGTACAAATGTGGTTAGTAAAAAGGTGCATGATTAAAATGAAAGAATCAATTAAAGATACTTACTGGTAATTTTTCATTAAATCCACTAACTTTAACAACAATACCCTTTTGACCAGTATACATTTGATGTTTGAATTCAGCAGCTGTAGCTGGATACAATTCTTCGACTAATAATTGTTTTAATACTTCTATGAATAAATCCATCATAGCAACGCTACACAACAACAACAACAACAAAATAGTCATTATTTTTATATAAAAATATGAAATAATTTCAATAAATTTCTTACTTTTTAGCAGACGTGGTTAAAGGTGATATAATATAAAAGTACATGTAACATTCTGGTAAACCAAATTTAGAATCTTGCCTATACCAAACTTCGCATAAATCATCGTAATGTATTTTAACAGGATATTTAGGAATTTCCGATGGTATTGGTATCAAAGTAAAATCATTAGTAAGAAAGATATTTGGTAATGGCAAGTGAAATTCTGGCATAGGTTCAATCGTTTTCCAAGTTTCGGTCCATTCGTTGGGTATATCCATATCGGTATATTTAGTTTTAAACCATGGTTCAACTTTATCGAATTCTTGTTCATTAAATTTCTTATCAAATATAATAATATTAACATTATCGGCTGTTAAATAATTCAAGCACATTTCTATTGCTTCAGGATTATATTCAAAGTAAAGTTCGCTACCGGTAATGTAATCTTTTGGTGGAAAGAAGTGCATATTCTCGCACAATTCTTCTACATAATCTGCTGGTGCAACTTCATCAGAGAATCTAGAAATAATTGATATAATATATTATTCGTTGATACATTTTTTTTCTTTTTTTTTTTTTTTTTTTGATGAAATTAATTGATATACCTGAAATTGGTTTCCTCAATCTGAGATATTTCATCGTAGATTCGTTTTTGTGGACCTTCCTTTTTCATTAAATTAATATAAGAGAATATGCAATTTAATACATCCTCCAAATGCTTGTGACCTTCTTCAGTAAGAATCATTGATAAACTGAACAATGCATAAATTGAGGAATGTTCAAAACCACTTTCTGTGTTTCCACTAGAAATATCCAAACACCACATTTTCTTTCTCAAGTAACTTATCAATGAACCCTTTCCTTCGTGTCCAATGATCCAAGCGATATAATGATGAGGTTTACTTTTGTAATATTCATGTAAAGGTGGCATTGCCCATGTTAATTCTATTTGACAAACATCTTTAACAGGCTTAACTTTATAAATTTTTCTAAAGCTAGGAGTATCGAACGAATCTGCTCCTTTGAACTCGCTAAAGTCAGTCGATGGTAAACCATTACTTGGAACTTTGGAAAAACATTGAATTGCATATTCCTCTAATTTATCTAATGGTAATTTAGCTTGTATGGCTACTTTCATTCTGTGAGCACTATAATGGCGTTCCCTAAATTTATGCAATTCTTCGTAAAGTTTATCATCAGTTACATTATCTTTTAACGTTATTAAATTTCCCCACATGAATTTTCTCGCGGGATGATTTGGTCTGGCTAAACTACAAAACAATTGTTCCTTTCTATAAACATCAGAAGGTAAAGCCATTTGAAATTCACTTTCAACAGCTTCACGTTCTCTCGCAATTGCTTCCTTCTTCATCAATGGTTTAATAAAAAATTGTGCAAAACGATCTAAAGATGCCAATAAATATTTCTCTTGTACTTCAAAGTAAAACGTTGTTTGTTCACATTCCGTAGATGCATTATCAGAACCACCTCTTTTAGTAATAAACGAATCAAAATCATTTTCCTATAAATGTAATACATTTCATGAGATAATAAAACCATATTTCAAATTAATTATTTATAAATAATATATATATGGTATTAACCTCAGGATATTTCTCTGAACCCATGAATACCATATGTTCTAAAAAGTGTGCCATTCCTGGAACTTCTTCAGGATCGCTGAAACTTCCAACACCCACGCACAACCCACATGCTGCCTGTAATATCACAATTTCAGGTAAAAATTGGAACATTTTGATATTATTATTATAAATAATTGCAATTGAATTATTTGTTGAAAAAGAACATACCATTTTTTCTTCTCTTTTTAGACGTTTACCTCCCAATAAATGAACATCATCAATTTCCGGTCCATATTGACATATCCCCAAATCATCTTCATATTCGCTTTCTTCTTCATCGACATCATCATCATCGTCATCAACTTCATATTCAACACCAACATCATCATCATCATCATCATCATCATCATCATCATCATCCTCTTCCTCTTCATCAGTTTCATCTTCATTGCTCTCTTCATCTTCAGTGTCAGTAGCCACCGCTCCAACTTTATAAGAAATAAAATATTATATTCGCATTTATATCTTTTTTTTTTCTTACATAAAATTATATAAAATTTGATGTAACATTACTTATAGAACCATCTTTATCGCGTAATTGATGTTTAGCGGAATGTAAATCAGCGATTAACAAAGCGGTGAGTCCATTTTCCAATTTGATGACTCTGAACAAAAGTCAAATTGAATGATAACAATGTGTCAATGTTATTTTTTACATATGTATTCATTAATATGTTGTTTATATTTTGTTAATTACCTGTATTCTTTTTTATCATTTTCCGATTTAACTGGTGTATCCAAATATTCGACTTTAATATTTCTCTTTTCATGATTTTCATCTATATTTTCATTGTCGAGGTTAACATTATCCGAAACTGTTGTTTGATCATTTGACATATTCTTGGTATTTATTAAATTTGATTGAACACTTTTCTCTGTTGACGAATTGTGTACAATTCTTTTTGGCATAATCTTTGGAAAGATGCAATTTTTAATAGCACTTTGTTTAACAAGAATTTGTTTAAAAGATAATAGCATGTGACGTGTGACAAACTATTGTAAAAATGAACTTTGCTTAGTTTTTTTTTTTCTTTTCCTGATACTAATATAGAAAATCTATATTTAACGATTTAAAAGGAATCAATAATTATTCCAATACTAAATAAGATTAGTTTAACAATATTTAAATGTCATTATTACTTATATATCAGAAACGTGTCTAATTGATCCACTAACTTTTAGACTTGGCAGTATGATAGATTCCTTCATTACCGACTGAACACTCCTCCTCCCCCAAATAGAATTGATTCTTTTTATCTTTTTCTTTTATTTTATTCTATTTTTTTTTAAATTGTCATTATTTTATATTCATTATAATAATATTAACCTTTATTAGAGCAAGAATAGATATTTTTCATGCTTTTTATCATATGTTTTTTATTATCCAAAAGTTTTCATTATAGTTAATTATTTACACGTTAATTATTAATAATTACGCACTACATTTTCTTAATATGAATTTATACGAGAGACTTTACATTAGATTAACATCATATAGAAATGTTACAAACAGGTACAAAAACTATCTCTACTTAATTATTCTAACTTATAAACTAACGATTAATAGAATACAATATATTTATATATTTATATATATATATATATATATATATATATATGATTTTTCAAAGAGATATGAATAAAAACGAGAAATACAATTTTTTTTATTTTTTTTTTTTTTAAGTAAATAATTCATAATCGTAAATACGTTATTACATAATTTATATAATAATTATTATTAATATTATTATTTTATATATTAACACATTACAATCTCACAAATTCATATCTACGTTTGTATTTATTTGAAATTAAAAAAAAGAAACAAAACAAAAGGATACAAAAAAAAAGAGCGCGTAATTTGAATGAGCATATTAATCAAAATGGCGTAGTATCAAAGTTTTTTTGTACTGTGACAGGGATTGTAATCAAGATCTTTATTTTTATCAAAGTTTTGATTGATTTAAACAAACTTTTTTAATAATAATAATAATAATAATAACAATAATTAAAAAAACCTATAATTCATTCAATTAATTATATTAATATATATTATTATTATTCGAGTAAATAACAGAGTGATGATTAATTTGAAAAAGTTAATCGGTAAGATTTTGATTACAAATGTAATATGCAAATTCTATTATTTATTTTCTTTATTCATAAATACCTTGAAGCATTTTTTTTTTTGTTTTTTTGGCAGTGCAATGTCATCGTAAAAATACAAAATATCAATGCGTCTTATACAATTTATAAAAAAAAAATTTTCCAATCTCGCAGATATATTTTCCTATTCCAATTTCTTATTTTATTTTTTTTTATTATTATTATTATTAATGTATACTCACACAACTTACAGAGTATATTTTACTATAAGATGGTTGTTTTCATTAAAATGAGTAAGAAATATGAATAGAATGAACATCTTTGATAATTATTGAAATATTATGCAAATGGCGTCCATTGAATGGTTTACGTTTTTTACCTGGATTTTTTTATTTATCATGGACGATAAAATATATAATTTGACAATGTATATATTTTGTCCTTTCCATGAATCCTTTATTTATGTATATTTTATTGCATTTTATTAATATTTCAATTCTTTTCTCTGCAAATTTAATTTATCAAACGTATTGCCTGATCAAAACAAACATGGCTTCCGTAATATATATATATATATATATATTTCATATAGAGATTCATTTGCATAATTTTATTACGCATCGAATAATATTTGATATTTTTGTCATTTAAAAAAAAAAAAATAAAAAACAAAATGAATCATCGCACCTATAAATAAATAAAGAAGAGGCATAAGTTAATTGTATTTTGTTATTGTTGTTGTTAAAATTGTTAGAATCGTTGAAAACGCGTGTGAATATAATAAAAAAAAAAAACGTGAAAATAAAATCATGAGTTTATTTTAAAAATCTATTAATGTTTATTAGAAAAAGAAAAAAAAAGAGAGAGAGAGAGAGAGAGAGAGAGTAGTAGTATTTACAGTAATACAAATACTTTTTTTTCTTTTTTTTTTTTATACAAAATGTTTTTTCCTTTGATCGTCAAACAAAAGTCTGTCTTATGAAAAACGAAAATTGAACATTTTTCTTATATAATTATAACGAAATTGAAATTGAAATGAAAAAAAAAAAACAAAAAAAAAAAAAAGAAAAGATTGGTCCCATTTCTTAATCATAAAACATACTTTATACACATATTTCAAAATAAGCTTAGTTTTTTTTTTGTTTTACTTTTTTTTTTGTTGTTTTTTTTTTTAATATTAGTACATAATAAATCTGATGGTGTTGTTCCACCACGTTGACAGATTTTTCTTCAAATGATTCTTTTTATATTGTAATACAAGTAATATTATTATAATGGTACCTTTGTCTATCGTTATATACATATATATATATATTTAAAGATGGCTCCTGGTGTATATATATATATATACAACTTATTTTAAATATAAGTCAACTTATTTTTAAATTAAGTTACATTCTGTTAGAAGAAACGATAGATGATAGAATGATAGATACAACTGATAGACAAAGTATTTGATTTCATTTTTGTACGAATATTGATTTGAATTTGATTTGTTAAAATTGTTAATCAAAATCAACGTGACTTTTTCAAATGATATAACTACTTTTACGATTAAAACAATACAAAAAAAAAAAACAATATATGCAAGAACAATTAAAAGATGATTATTTCAAATAATAGAATTTCTATGAATTTAATAAAAATAGAAATTCTATTATTTAATGACATTTCGATTGATCCTGCATTTGTGTTGATATATTTACAACCGTAAAAGTTATTTTATTTATATCATCGTTAAAGCATAATGTTGATTAATCCAAATTATTATGAATTACGTTGTATTACAGTATTTTTTTCTTTTGTGAAGAAAAATTTGTAAACGTGGTATTATCTTGTCATAAAGATTAAAAAAGAAAAAAACAAAAAAACAGATGAGTTCGTATTAAAAGAAACTTCGAAAAAAAAAAAAGTAAATAGTTCTTTTTTTTTTTCTTCTTCTTCTTCTTTTTTGCTATACAACTTAGCAGCAACAGCAGCATTGTTAATTGCAAGATGTATATACAATATTAAAAATCAATTAATGATATTATGCATATACATACTTATCATTAACACGTTTCTTTTTTTTTTTTTTTCACTTATCTACAAGGATCGTATATAACGTTTGTGTCGTCCATTTGGAATTTTTTATTTGTCCATTGTAATATACGTTTGTGTTAATCATTGATATTAGTTTTGTTTATACACGTATACGATCCTTAATGTAGTAATTAATTAAAACAAACAAAAAAATGTATAAATTGTTCTCGAAAAGCTATGAAAATCTCTCAATTTACAAATTGTCTTCTTCATCATCTCATCATCATCATCATCATCATCTTCTATTATTAATTAATGTTACACACACAGTGTTTTAAATTGATCGTTGTCCTAATCTGAGAAAGGAACATTTTCTTTTTCTTTTTGTTTGTTTTTTGTTTTTTGTTTTTCTATAGAAAACTAAGAGAAATACGCGGATTAATGTTAAACACTTAAAAACAAAACAGGTAGAAAGAAGAATTTGTTTGTTTTTTTGTTTGTTTGTTAAATTCTACAGAAAAAAAAGTTTGTTGTTTGTTTATTTGTTTTTGTTTGTTTGTTTGTTTTTCTTTTCGATCATTCCATAGCTGTCACAATCATTATATTCTCTTTGTACTCTACTTAAATGAAATATTAATACGTTTTGTTTTGTTTTTTTTTCTTTTTTTTCTTTTTTTCTTTTTCTTTAGTAATATTATTATCTGCAAAAAACATTTATATAATAATTAATTAATTATTATTATTATTATTATTATTTATCTCAGAAATGTATAAAAAATATCTTACATCAGTCTGGCCAATATTAGAATAATGACCAAATACTTATTTTTTTTTTTTAGTTTTTACTTTACAACGCGTTTCTTTCTTTCCTCTCTTTTTTTTTTCTTTTCTTTTCTTTTGGTTTTTTTCTTTTTTCTTTCTTTGTTTGTTCGTTTTCTTTTTTTCTTTCTTTTTCATTTTATAATTGGTGGTCGGTCGGTCGGTCGGTCGGTCGGTCGGTCGGTCGGTTTTGTGATAAATTACACAAAAAAATTTATATAAACAATGATAATGATTAATTATTTAAGGACACAACAAAAAAAACTGTATAAATTATTATTTTGTATAATATACTCGATTGGATTTTTATTTTTTTAATACTTTTCTTTCATTCATTTCATTTTTCTTTTGTTTAACGTAGTATAGTCAAACGTAACTGTGTAATTTTTACTCTCTTTTTTTTTTTATGGTTTTTCTTTTTTCTTTTTTTCTTGTTTCACAATATATATATATGGTATCATTGTTTTAAAGTCAAATAAAATTGCAAGGCAATAATATGTTTGTACAAAAACAACAAAAAAAAAAAAAATGAGTCAAAATAAAAACTGACGAAAAAAAAGGAATGATGACGGAGAAAAGAAATCTAAACAAAATTAAATAAAATAAAATAAAATAAATGTGTGTGAAGAAAAAAAAAAAGAAAAACAAATATTTTCTCTTGAGAATTGTGTAAACTGTGCTTAGAATGATTAATTATTATAATAATAAACGTAGATTATTTCGTCAACAATGTTTAAACGGAAGTTCGTGAAAATCGTTTTAATGAAAATTTTGGAAGATCTTTATGCGTAACTATTTCATCATAGTTACTTAATGTACTGTGTAAAGTAAAAAAAAAAACGATGATATTTTATGGTTTTGTTTTGACTCAGTTCATGAGTAAGTACTCCTATACAATCTAAAATGCATTACATATATATATACATACATATATATATATATATATATATAATGCTAGTAAGTTTGTTATATAAATTACTAAAGATTTGTAAATCTACAACTCAATATTTTCAATCATATAAAAGCTAACATGTTATTATTAAACAGATGGTGATGGTGGAGGTTGTGTGGTGGTGGTGGTGGTGGTGGTGTGGTTGGTGGGATATAATACCGGCTTTTGTTTCTTCAACTTTTTTCATCGTATGTACACTATTAGTACTGATGTGTGTTACCAACTGTTTTTGTTTCTTTTATTTCTTTTTTTATTACTTGCTCGCAATTTTACTTGGTTGTTTTCGACAAAAATATATTTTTTCTATGCTTCACATATATATTATATATATATATATTTTACATAATTATTAAAAAAATTAAGTAAACAATAATTTCCAATTAATTGGATGTCGTCAAATTGTATAAAACTTGACGCACACTAATTCCTATGTTTGTCTGAAAAAATATAAAAAAAATAAAAAAAGAACGACCACACACATTGTTTTTTTTTTTCTAAGCAAGCAAATGAAATATTTTTGTCGAAAGCTCTCTTTAAAAAAAAAAAAAAAAAAAAAAAAAAAGGGAGATATGATGATTTTTTTTCTTTTCTTAATACTCATGTAAAGATCCATTACTCGATTTTTCATTGTGTTTTGTTTTTGTCAAATTTGTTTTCTTTTGTTTTCTGTTCTTTTAAATTATTACTCAATTTTAAGAAGAGGTTCAGCCGTGGTCTCCGTTCTGCAAAGTAATGGCGTTTTTCTTCGTGACGTTGTTACAGGTTGATAAACGTAATTTCCTTGTATAGAACCTGTAAGGGCTTTACGTTTTTTACAAGGACTTAATTCATAACCAATTGTTTCTTGTTTAGTGATGTTTAATTGCATATGCAGTGCCTCCTTATCGTCAACGTCGATTTCATCGTAAATATGTTCTTTTATGTCAATATCACAATCTTGACTACTTTCGTCATAACTGTCAGTAACCGAATTAGCAGCAGCAATATGATGATTGTGAATAGATGATTCATCGTATACAGCACTTTCCTCAGTTGTCTCATCACTTGAACTTTCATTTTCTTCCGACAATTCACCACTCCCAGCATACTTCATTTCACCTCTTTCCAATAATTCCAAATGATCCGGACATATCATTGCTTTTTTAATCGCTAATGGATCCTTCCTCGACCATTTCTGTACTTCTTCATCCATTTTCGCTATTTTCGCTGGATTAATTGCCCACAAGCATCCCTTTCTTTGATTTCCATTGCCAGCTGGTTTTTCAATCTTCTCAAAACATTTGTTCAATGATAAATTATGCCTAACGGAATTTTTCCAACCATTTGGTGCTGTTTTAAAATATGGAAAGTGTTCGCTGTAACATAAATACAGTTAAAACTTTTAAACAACAAATTTTTGATATTAATCAAAATAGGTAACAAGAACATAACATATAATCCTAAGAAAATTGTCCGGGAATATATAAAACGGGGAAGTACCGCGTATAGTTTTCTAGGGGGACTGTACCCTGACATGCACCTGGTGTTCCAAGGGCCCCCATACAAAATGGCAGCTCCCCCCTTGTAACCTGGGAATAAAGGAGAGAAGACAATACTTTCTCCCTTCGTTCCCCGAACATCAGGAGATGGGGAGAGGGAGAGGGGGAGGGGGAGGGGGAGAGGGGGATTTACCCAACCAACCCTTGTCTTTCCGGCCAAATGGTTGAAAATAAGCGATCTGGGGACTTTGTTTTTTCGAACGTAAGTCTTTCTATCTTTTGTTAGTTTTTCAATTTAGTTCAAGTAATAATAATCCCCCCTTCGGTTGAGAATGAACAATTGAAATATACGCAATAAGAATTTGTTTTCAACTTACCACATGAAATTGTAGATTTCTGATACTGGAAGTGAACCAGTTTGACTATTTTTCAAGGCCATGGCAATCAAACAAGAATAAGAATACGCCGGTTTAGGATAAAGTTTATCCTCAAAATCGGACAAATCAAATTCTTTTCTAATCGAAATTGCAGCGGCGGCTGCGGCAGCAGCAGCTGCAGCAGCTGACGATGAAGAATTATTAACGTGATAATTGTTATTATACATTTGTTTTCGAACGTGTTGAGATTGTTGTTGATGTTGTTGTTGTTGTTGACTCGATTGACTGTTTTGTAATACTTTAAAATTTTGTACCCGTATACCGGGTAATCCATTAATTTTAGATGATAAATGGGCCTTCGTAATATGAGGCGTTATTGTTTTAATGGCAGTATTTATCGATATTGTATGAGGTGGTTTAGCTCTAAACAACGCAACCGGTCTTACAACTTCTTGCTCGTCCTCCGTTTCATCCTCAGTTTCCGTAATATCATTTTCATATTGTTCAATTTCCGTATCAACCTCGTTATAATTCTCTTGATCATTTTCATTATCCTGATCAATATCATTGTCATTGTCATTGTCATTATCATTATCATTGTCATTGTCATTGTCATTGTCATCGTTTTCGTTATCGTTTTCATTTTCATCTATCTCATTATCGTTGTCATTTTCATTCTCGACATCTTCATCATTGTCCAACTCATTTTCAACGTCTATCTTTTCCTCTTTGACTTCCATCTTGGATGTAAAGGAAAAATGTCGTTTGTTCATGTTCGACATTGAATTGTGGGTGGCCATGTGTGGCATTACAGAATTGGGATTAACCATGATTGATGTAACATCGTTGCTTAAATCCAGATGGAAATTACTGCTGAAAGCAAAGGAAACCAAAATTCTTATGAAAATAATGAAATTAGGGCTATTGCTTTTGAAATGTTTTATTACAATCTCGTAAAAGGGGTTGGTGTGAGAACCATTAATAACAATTATTCGTACCTGTTCGAACTATTACTGTTGCTGTTACCATTGAACAAATTAGAAGAATTTAATGTTTTATGAAGATCGTTAAGCAGTACAGGATTATCGTCCAATTCCATTTGAGGTAAATCCGTGATACTGAAACTGTAATCTCCATGAATATCGTTTTGTCCTTCGATAACATTTTCAATCTCGCATCTGATATCGACGTCTAGCATTTCTTGAAGGGAAAGACTGTCGGCACCGAAATAATCCATTGAGAGCCAAGGGCTTGATGGAACCTGATCTGGCCCAAGAGCGGATCTACTCATTGTTTCCAACATTCATCTAACTGTAAATATACAAGAAAAATAATACACATTATTAATCATGTATTTGATTATCAATTTTACTTTATTGGTTGTCAGGTTTTTATATTAATAATTTAATTATATAAATATTATTTATTAATTTTTAAGGATTATTACAACAAATATATGGAAATTATTATTTAATTATTAATTTAAAATATTTTGATTTGAGTTGTCACTACCCACGTGACTAAACGGACCAATAAGAGATAAAGTATACTCAACAACGGTTCAAAATTTGACCAAAGTCAAATGAAATAATTAAATGAATAAAATAAATCAAAATAAAGATAGAAGTGGGGTAGAAAAAAAAATATGTTAGATCAAATATAAACCTAGAAAAAGATATTTCATAATTTTCCTCTCTCACAGTGTTGTTTTTCCAAGGGCTGTTATATATATATATATATATATATATATATATATATA